CCTATCATGACCTTTAGCAATTGCACTTTGGAATTTATCCTAAAAACACTGGAAACATACCAAAAAGTACAATCACAGCAACACTATTTACAATAAAAGAAAGTAGGAAACACCCGAAATGTGCACTTGTGGAATTATAGTACACCAGTGGATGAACATTATGACCATTATAAAATATTCAAATATCTGAAAGAAAAAATTTATTAAATACAAAAGACAAATCCAAAGCAGTAGGCAAAACAGCCCATTTTTATAATAAAAATATACATTCAATAAGTAAATAAAACAAAAATAATACATTCGGGTATAAAACTATAGGTGCCTTTATACATACGTGACTTACATACACATAGGTACCAACATTGTCTTCAGATGAATGGGATTGTGGCTTTTGGGGGGGGGGGCTTGCATTTTTTGATGAAAGGTGATGAGCTGGTTTTAAGAGTTTAACTTTCTAACTATAGAATCTGGTATGTTTGCACATTATCAATAAAATGATCATTTATTGAATATATATAAAAATGTTTGGAATTTAGTTCATAAAAATTCAGTTATTTCCCCGTCTACTTTTTGACTTTTAATCACTTTAAAGGATATTCATTGTATTCAATATGGATTGCATCTATACTCTGAACACAGTCCTTTTTAACAACAAAAAAAAAGTTATTTATATATCCTCAGTTTCACCCTGACTCCCTCATTTTTAACAGTATCAGTAAATTGTTTTAGACTCCTGAGAACCATGACCACAACTCATTATCAATCCAAACCCTTACAATGCACTATGGTTCAGAACATGGCTATACAGCTTTAATGTTGGGCTTAACTGTTCTTATATACAAGAATTCAAAGAGATACCCCCACAGGTAGGCACACTGTAATAGAGTGATGCTCAAACGGGACGTTTGGCAATGTCTGGAGGCATTTCTGATTGTGATGACTGGGAGTGAGAGTGTTACTAATAGCATTTAGGGGGAGAAGGCCAAGGATGCTGCTAGATATCCTACAATGCATAGGACAGTTCCTGACAGCAAAGAATCATCCACCCCAATATGTCAATAGGTTGAGAAACTGCTCTACTGAGCCAGCTGGAATTTCCCATCTAAATGAAATCTGTTTCTTCTCAATAATTATATACAATCATTGCCTCAATACATGTTTAGAAATTCCTTCTTTCCAAAATGTCTAAATTTCACCAGTAATATTTACTCTTTTCATGGTGTCATATTAAATTCACTTTCTCGTAACGGACTAAAATCATAAGCCATTCTTACGAACTTTCTGCTCAGTTAGAGAAACTGATAAAAAAAATTTTAGGCTATGAGTATTTTATTTATGTAATATTTAAAGAATCTGGTAAAATACTGTGCAATATTTACATATCCTCCCCACTCTCCATTTCTGTATATGATCTTTCATTCTTTGTCCTTACTTATTTCCCCCTTAAGCTTTTTCTTATTCATTTTTAGGCCAAAATTAACTCAGTCTGTTACCATTACTATCAATTTTAAGTGCTACTTCAGCAACTAAAAGCATTTGTTTAGGCAGTTCCTAATATGAGAAAAGCATAACAATTCTATATGAGTAGCAGTTACAAAGGTGAATATATTTGGCTCTTACCATAACTTAAATGAAAACTCAGAGCAATCATGCAGAATTAAACTTATATTAACAAAACTGAAAAAGGATGCACTTTATAGATGACTACACTTATTTTTTTCACTAAACTAAAAAAATACACATAACTCCTTAAAGCTTTTTATGGAAGAAAAAAATGCTGCCCCTCCAAACTTTTCTTTTCCCAGGTGGCATGAAAGATGTACACAGTGGTTAAAAACACTGTAACACATTAACAGTGTGCCATTTTTACCATAACTCAACTTATTTTCTCTTATGCATGGTCCCGATTTGTTAAGTGCATTTTTTAAAGTTCCTATAATTTGTCTTTAGTAGAGTAATTCTGAATTGCTTCTACAGATTCTTACACATCAAAGCTAGTTTAAGCTCAAACTGAGTACCCAAGTCTGTACATTAAACAACTAAAGTTTCTTACCCTTGCTATTTCAATTCTCAGTTACCACATTTTTCCCAAGTGTCAGGTTACTACTTTACTAGGCAATTTAATATATACTTCAGGGGAAAAAGCTGACGAGTTCGTTTGGGCAATGTGTTTCTTTTCAGAACACAGAATTTACAGCAAAAATCTAGTGAGCATTATATAAATGTACCATCAACTTTTATCATCAAATAGAAGATAAAGTAATTTCTAGTTACTTGCTGGCCCTCTTAAGTGTTCATTTCTGCTAACTAGAGCTATTATTATGTGAATGTCCTAGGTCCAAATCAAGAAACCTATAATTAAGTGATATTTCATTGTTCTTCAAAATCATGTAGTAGTACCACTAGCAGTGGAATGTTAGAGCTCTTCTGAGTTATATAAATAGATCATATGGTTTGAAAGTAGCACTTTTAGGGGCACATGGGTGGCTCAGTTGTTGGGCATCTGCCTTCGGCTCAGGTCATGATCCCAGGGTCCTGGGATCGAGCCCCACATTGGGTTCCCTGCTCTGCGGGGAGCCTGCTTTTCCCCATCCCACTCCCCCTGCTTGTGTTCCCTATCGAATAAATAAATAAAACCTTAAAAAAAAAAAAGCACTCTAATTAAAATTCAGGTTCATTTAATTTCTAGATTTATGAAAATTAGTCAATACAAAAGACCCTTATCAAATATACTAAAGTTTAGCAATAACAATTTTGTAATTTCTTTCCATAAGACTGAACTATAGAATAAAAAAATAAAAGTCTTCTAATGACTAAAATCTCCTGGGCATGGTATAATTTAATCTCAAACTTTATAGGAGAGCTGCCCAATAGAAATATGTGAGCCATATATTTCCTAGTAACCACATTAAAAGCATGAAATCATAATTTTTGACCCAATATCAAAAGCATTATTATTTCTACATATAATCAGTATCTGTAAATATATAATAATACTATTTTCTATTTTTTCCATACTACATTTCCAAAATCTGGTATATCTTCCATACTTACACCACATCTCAGTACACTTAAGTACTCAACAGCCCCATGTAGCTAGAGGATTCCAAATTAGTGCAGCTCTAGAGGCTCTAGAGCAAAATAAAGCAATCTTGACTAAAATGCAACCTAAGAATCTTCATCCCTAACCACAGATTTTTGAGGCACATCCTCACGTTAAACTGTCTACTATAAAACATACCAAAGCAGAGATTACAAACTTTATGACCCATAAAAAATATTAAAAATCAAAACAGTGATGTTACTTTCATATGGTCTATTAACCTCTAAAATAGCCTGAACAATGTAAAGGCCATTACTAAAATGCAAACTTGAAATAATCTCTTTAAAAATAAGCCCAATCCTAAAATGGAAAGTAAATGATAGTCCCCCTTCTGGGAAGAAAATTCTGACTGAAATGACTTTATTTCGTGATCTTACTCTACCACAGTCCTAGTACCCAATTTACTAGACAATGAATGGTCAACTTAAGAAGCCTAAATATGAATAAAATACATTTTCATGAGAGAAGGCCAAAGAACAACTAGAAGACTTCATAGTACCTTTGCAAACTTGAAGAATGGTCTTGGATCTTTTCTGAAATATTCAATATCAAACATTGCTTGAGGATCTGGAAGGTCTGGGAAGTCTATTGCAAGGCGAGCATAAATACCATCTCTTGACCTGAAGTCAGGTATTCCACAAGAAACAGAAACCTGAAATATGCATGGCATAATTTGTACAATTAAATCTTCCATCTACGTTTATAATTACTAGTTCATCATATAATTAGGGAAGAGCTGAAAAATATTTACTTTAAAATTTATCTTGGGGAACAACAATACTGCCCTACTCTAATTTCAAGTTCAAATAAACACACACACAAAAAAAACAAGAGTATAATGAAATCCACCATATTTTCCATTCACAATAGGGTAAGGAATTTTAAGTCAGGCTAATTTTTTTTGTCAGGCTAACTTTAAACCTTTAAACATTTAACCAACACATTAAAGCAACTGCAATTTGAGAACAGTAAATCATTTCAAATTATTTTAACTACAAAGCAGGCAAGATTTTCTATCGCAGTCAGGTATTTGAAAAAACAAAACTGTCATCTGGTCAGGGTTATACTATTTCAAGAATATTAAATTCCTGTATTTTCTTTAAAAATTCTATCATACGGGGCGCCTGGGTGGCTCAGTTGGTTAAGCGACTGCCTTCGGCTCAGGTCATGATCCTGGAGTCCCGGGATCGAGTCCC